CCACTTTCACCGCTTCTATTCAACATAGTACTGGAAGTCTTAGCCAAAGAAATCAGGCAAGAGAAGGAAATGAAAGGAACCCAAATTGGAAAAGAGGAAGTCACATTATCTCTCTTTGTTGATGATATGATCTTGTAACTAGAAATACCTAAAGACCACCAAGAAATGCCTAGATTTGATAAATTCAGTAAAATTGCAGGATACAAAATCAAAATACAAAAATCAGCTGCATTTCACCAATAATGAGCTAGCTGAGAAAAAAACCAAGAAGTCAATCTCAGTACAATAGCTACAAAAAAATTAAATAGCTAGGAATAAATTTAACCAAGGAGATAAAAGATCTCTACAAGGAAAACTACATAACACTGATGAAAGAAACTAAAGAGGACATAAACAAATAGGAAGATATCTCATGTTCATGGATCAGAAGAATTAATATCATTAAAATGAGCATACTGCCCAAAGTAATCTACAGATTCAATGCAATCCCTATCAAAGTACCAACATCATTTTTCACAGAATTAGAAAAAAACACCTAAAATTCATATGAAACCAAAAGAGAACCCAAATAGCCAAAGCAATTCTGAGCAAAAAGAACAAAGCTGGGGGCATCACCCTACCTGACTTCAAAATATATTACAAGGCTATAGTAACCACACCAGCATGGTGTTGGTATAAAAACAGACACACAGACCAATGGTATAGAATAGAGAGTCCAGAAATAAATCCAGATATGTATAGCCAACTGATTTTCAATAAAGGTACCAAAACGTACACTGAGGAAAAGACACCCTCTTCAATAAATAGTGCTGGGAAAATTAGAGATCCATATGCAGAACAATGAAACTGGACTCCTAACTCTCCCCGTATTATAACATAAAAATCAACTCAAGATGGATTAAAGACTTAAATGTAAGCCCCCAAACTATAAAACTCCTAGAAGAAAACATATGGAAAACACTTCAAGACATCAATCTAGGCAACTATCGTATGGCTAAGACCTCAAAAGCACAGCTATAACAAAAATTGATAAATGGGATTATATTAAACTAAAAAACTTCTGTACAACAAAGGAAACAATCAACAGAGTGAAGAGACAACCTGTTGAATGAGGGAAAATATTTGCAAACTCTTCATTCGACAAGGGACTAATATCCAAAATACACAAGGAACTCAAATTACTCAATAATTTAAAAAATAATCCCATTAAAAAGTGAGCAAAGGATATGAATAGACAATTCTCAAAAGAAGACACACAAAATGCCAACAGGTAACTGAAAAATGCTCAACATCACTAATTATCAGGGAAATGCAAGTTAAAAACCTCAATAAGATATCTTCTTACCCCAGTTAGAATAGCTATTATTAAAAAGACAAAAAATAACAGGTTGGTGAGAATCTGGAGAAAAGGAACTCTTATACATTGTCAATGAGAATGTAAATTAGTACAATCACTATGGAAAACAGTATGGAGATTTCTCAAAAACCTAAAAATAGAACTGCCATACAATCCAGCAATCCCACTACTGGATATTTATGCAAAGGGAAAGAAATCTGTACATCAAAGGGATAATGCCACTTGCCTGTTTACTGCAGCACTATTCACAATAGCAAAGATATGGAATCAACCTAATGTCCATCGACAGATGAATGGATAAAAAAATGTGGTATATACACAATAGAATACTATTCAACCATGAAAAGAATGAAATCATGTCATGTGCATAACATGTATATAACTGGAGATCATTATGCTATGTAACATAAGCCAAGCACAGAAAGACAGATACCACATGTTCTCACTCAGATGTGGGAGCTAAAAAAGATGATCTCATGGAAATAGAGAATGGAACGATAGATACCAGAGGGTGGTTTGGGTGTGTATGTGAGAGGGGGTATTAAAAAAGGATGCTTAGTGGTTACAAACATGTAGTTAGATAGAAGAAATAAGCTCTAATATTCTATAGCAGACTACTTGAAATGATACCAACACATAGAAATGATAAATACTCAAGGTGATAGATACCCCAAATACCCTGACTTGATCATTACACATTCTATGCATGTAATAAATACTCACATGTACTCCATAAATATGCAAAAGATTTTAAATCAATTAAAAAATGAGACAATATCAAAGGTACATTGGTACTAAACTAGAAGCTGGTTTTCTTTCCATTAAAAAAACAAAGTTATCTTGGCGAAAGGTTTTCCTCATCTTTTAAGTAATTGACTTTACAAAGTTTTGTGTTTTATCAAGATAATTTCTTGTGTTTCATGTTGTCTTTTATTAGGTCTTTGATTACCTAAGAAAAATGAGTCTTCTCAATATTAAAAGAGCTGAATTTTTTATAGCTATGTAACCTTTCTGTATTTGCCTTTCATTGCTTCATAATAACCAATGATCCTGTTTAATCAAATGTTTTAGACCTTTTGACATTTTTTACAAACTTTCCAAAATGAAATTCTAAATTAAGTATTTTTGAACTAGAATTAACTTTGGGACATCCCAGATGGTCCCTGGAATGTCTCAAAGGTTCTGTACATAATTTTTGTTATTAGGGTATAGCCCTATTCATTGTTTTCGAGTTTTATTATCTACCTGTAGACTCGACTGGATCCTGAATTCTTCTTGATTCTTCCAATCCAATTTTCTCCCACTTTTCTGACTTGGAATCACTAAGAACAAGAAGTGCTCTGTTCCTGAAACTCCACAAGCTAAACATGGACAACTTGCTGCAATTTCAGAGGACAGCCCTCATGCCTGATGTGTGAACCAGTTAAGGAGTTCACTGAAACACTCAATGCCTTAATTAGGCATTTAAACTGTAAACCAGGAAAATATGTTTCAAGCTCAAACCTAGAAATCTTGATTAACTTTCCTCTGGACTCAGAGACTGAATTTATAGTTTGTTTCAGTCATTGACCTTTGTTTTTGTTTTGTTTCCCTAGAAATGTTACTTGATTTGGTTTGTGGGGACCTTGGCTAGGGAGCATACTCCAGTGCCTTGGTATTATCTTCCTGATAGTCATCATTATAATCTTCCTGGTGTACTGTATTGTCTCAAGGCTCTTAAATGTGTGTTTGCAGCTATTGACAGTATGCCAGATGGTCTCCCTATGATTAGAGCAATAAAAATGAGATGACCAACAAAAGGAATCTCTCGTCAATGAGCCTGATGTCATGACTTATGAGTTCCACACTGACACAAAGACAACCCAGCCATGATGGTGGCAGAAAGTGGTACTTATGCCCAAGTTCTGGTCTCATCTCATAAATGAGATGCTGATCACAAAGGAATTGTTCAAAAAAATCTAATTGGGAGACGATTAGACTAGGGTGCTAGCACTTTAAATTCCCAGGTAAACAAACTAAAGCCCAACGTAAATCATAAATTGAAACTAGACACTATAATATCATACCAATCAGAAACCACCAACTAACCTCTAACTAGGGACTTTCCACTCTAATAAATAAAAATTGTTTTCTTTGTCTTGTTTCTGCAAACACTTTATAAAATGTTCCTCACTTGCCCCTCTTGTCCTCGTCCTCAGAGTGTTAGCCACTTGGGGTCTGGTGCTGCCCCTATTCATGAATCACTGAATATGCAAAGAAACTCTTTAAAATTTAAATGTGCCTAAGTTTTTCTTTTATCATACTTGACACCAAAAGCATGATCCACAAAAGGAAAAATTGACAAACTGGACTTCATCAAAATTTAAAACTTTTGCTCTGTGAAAGATTCTATTAAGAAGATAAAAGACAAGTTACCACCTGGGAGAAAATATTTGCAAAACACATATTCAACAAAGGACTAGGATTGAGATTATATAAAGAAATGTCAAAACTCAACAACAACAAAAAAACACAAACATGACCAGACATTTCCCCAAGGAAGATATACAGATGGCTACTAAGCACATGCTTAATCATCAGAGAACTGCCTTTACCTTGCTCTTCCCACCAGTTTAGCAAAATTCACCAATTCTCCTGAGGCCATCTCCATTCCCTTTCATGTCCCTTTTTCCCTCTCCCAGCCCCATTTTCCTGTGCACTCTCCTATAGTCTCAAACTGCCCCATTCCCCACATGCACTCCCTTGCAGGAAGTCAGGGAACCTGCCTTCCCCGATGTGGCCCTCAGAAACTCTCTCTAGTCCCAAATTAGCACTCCCATCTACTCCATGCTGTGGACCTTATTTTGGTATCTGAAGGAAGGCAAGAGGGCAGTTAAATACTACCGAGTCAGGCCAGCCACTGAGTAATGAGGCAGGGTGGTAAAGGCTAGAGGGACTTTCAGGCCTGTGAGAGGCAGATGGACACAGCTGGACGTAGGCTGAAGGCTCTTCCTGGTGCTCTGGCCATCATGCCACAAAAGCCACCAGGTGCTTTTCCCTCTCTTGTTCTCAGTTCAGCAAGAGAAGACAGACTAACCTGAGGTTTTCTATTCTCCAAGCAGCAAAAAGCCTTGGCCCTTCAAATCAGTGTTAAATGTGCTATTTAATGGCCAGCAAACTAACCTCTAGTTATTTCATAGCCATATATGGTAAGAATAGAGGACGTAGGGCTGGTTAAGGGGCAGGACAAACTACCCAGTGCAGAGGTGAAAAAAATTGATGTGTGTGTGTGTGTGTGTGTGTGTGTGTGTAATCCATAGGGACAGATACACTCAGATTTGAAACAGTGCAGGGTGGAGGCCTTCAGGATCCTTTGAAACTCCCAGGTGGAACCCAGGTCGGACACACATCCTGCATGGACCTTTCCTGCCCAGCCGGGATATCCTGTGTTTGTCAAAAGGACCACGTAGGGAAGCCCTGACCATTGTCCTTCCCAAAATCTGCCAGTGAGCCCCTCCCCAGGTTGAGGCAGCCGCCCCAGGCAGAGGAAGAGTAACTCTGGAAACAGCGTTATCAGCATCCTCCATAGACTTCCTCACCTCCTCCCCAGCCTCATTAGCCCCAAGCTCCTCAGCATCCTCAAACAGAAAGCTTGGGGGGCTGGGGTGGGGTCAGCACCCAGAAGCCAGCCCCCTCTGACAGCTTCCTCTTTGGCCAAGCCCTGCCTCTGTGCAGCCCTGAGTGGGCAGCCGAAGGCTGCAGCCGCAGCCCAGAGCCCGAGATGGAGCCCTGGCTGGCCCTGCTGCTGTGGGTCTCAGCCCTGAGCTCTTCTTTCTCCTTGCCAGCTTCTCCCCGTCCTTCTCTGGTGCCCCAAGTCAGAACCAGCTACAATTTTGGAAGGACTTTCCTCGGCCTTGATAAATGCAATGCCTGCATCGGGACATCTATTTGCAAGAAGTTCTTTAAAGAAGAAATAAGGTCAGAATCTCAATCAAATAACTCTGAGGGGCAAAATTTTGTTCCCTTCATGTGAAGATGTCCAGGAGTTTGTTGAAAAGGAATCAGGATATAATGTATGGGTGGGAGCTGAAACAATGCCATTTAATCAGAGTGGTAATGGTTCGAAGCTGGGGTGGGTAGGAGGGCAAGGTGTGAAGCCAAATCCCAGCCCTAAATGCTAAATCCAAGGCTTCCTTTTGAAGTGAAAGCTTGAAGTTTTCTTTCCTATGAATGGAGTAGCCTGGGACTGTTGAGTTTACCAAGTTCATTTCTCATAAGGGGAGGGAAATAAAATTTATAGAAAGCCTACTATATGACATACATTTTAAACCATCCTTGGAGTTAGTGATTTGCACCAATTATTCAAATAGCGAACAGAGACATAGCAAGATTAAGTGACTCTGGGGCGGGGAGGAATAGAGTAACTATGTGAGAAGTTTGTTCCACTATAGTAACCATTTGTTCCACTATATTTGTTCCACTATAGTAACCATTTCACTATACATTTATATATGTATCTTATAACATCATGTTGTATACTGTAAATATGCACAATAAAATTTATTTAAAAAGAAAAAGATTAAGTGACTTGACCAAGGTCGCCACCTAATAAGTGGCAGATCTGGGATTCAAATCAGCACAGTTTGCTCCAAAGTTTCTGAGCCAGTTTTCTGTTGTGAGATGTTGCCTTGATCAGAGGAAAACCACAGTTTTAGTGAATTGCAAGCACGTGGCTCTGAAAGAATGGTATCACACTCTGGAATTCAAGCCTATCAACACATTGTAAATGAGCCTTTATCTTGGCCAAGATCCAGGAGGTGTTGTGGTGACAGCTACTATAACTCTGATCATTACCTTCCAGGGGGTCAGGAGGAGGGGGTCTTGTTACAAATAATAGTAATAAGGCTGGGTCTGATGCAGGCCAGTGTAAAGGACCTCCAGAAACTCCAAGGAGGGAACATTAATTCCAAATGGGGACTGGGGAAGGGCTTCTCCAGGGAGAGGTATTCTGAGCAAGGCCTTAAAGAATGAGCTGAAATTTAGTAGGAGGGAAAGGCTTAAGGAAGAAGCAGCAGCTTAAGCAAAGGCCCAGAGGTGTGGGAAGAGGTGAGAGGTGCTTAGTGGCTGGAGCATGGGGTGTACATGGAGGCGTGGCAAAGGAGGTTGGAAGGATATACAGGGCAGGGAGCCTTGAATGGCATGCCAATGAATTGGGACCTTAATGTGTGGACCAGTGGTTCCCAGGCTTTCCAGTACCAAAAACCCATTATCATTTGCCCCTTCTCCTCCATCCTGCCTGAAGGACCTACCTCATGCTTGTAAGATTTGGTGACCAAACAAAAGGCATTAATTAACAGTGATTTTATTTCCAATCTGTAGTAACCAAAGACATATTTGATTATTAAACTAAATTCCTGAACAGAAATAATAAATAGAATATACCAATCAAGGCCAGGCATGGGGGCTCAGGCCTGTAATCCCTCCCACTTTGGGAGGCCAAGGCAGGAGGATTGCTTAAGGACAGGAGTTCAAGACCAGCTTGGGCAACATAGCAAGACTCCATCTCTGCAAAAAGTTTTTAAAAAATTAAGAAATTAGCCAGGCGTGGTGGTGTGCGCCTATAGTCCCAGCTACTCAGAAGGCTGAGGCAGGAGGAAAACTTGAATTCAAGGCTGCAGTGAGCTATGATCATACCACTGCACTCTGGCCTGGGCAACAGAGTGAGACCCTGTCTTAAAAACAAATTAAAAAAAAAAAAGAAAATACTAATCAAAAATGTTAAACTTCTTTTGTGAGGCCATAGATATTTTATGCAGTCCGTGGTGGACTTCTCCTTTTAACCCTTTTTAAAGGCATTTTTTAATGTTGAAAAGTTGAAAGAACACAAATTGAGGAAGCTCTATTGCAGGCAATGGTGAGGGTGCTAAGCTGGTGAGAGGCAGAAGACCTGTGTTTTTGGAAGGTCTCATGGAAAACAGTGTACAGGATGGACTGGTGGTGTTGACAGGAGCTGTGAGAACAGTGGTCATAGCCCAGGAGAGAGGTTGTAGGGAACAAATTAGGGCAGGAAGGACACAAGTCAGTTCAACTGTAGAGTCATTTTGTTGACCAACTCCATGCTAGAGGAAATAAAGATGGAGACGTTGAATGTGAACTCAAGGTTTTCCCCCTAAGAAATGGGACAAAGAGGACCGAGAACACAGGTGAAGTGGTGCTGATTCCTCAGAGAGAGGAGGCAATGAGAATACAGACATATTTTAAGGTATTTTAAAATAGGAGGGAGAAAAATGAAGGGATTCAACTGAGGAAGACCTCCAGGTTCACAACCTCTTTATTCACCAAGGGGCAATAAATGAAGTTTTTCTCACCACCCAGGTATTAGCCAAATTCAGAAAGCATTTCCCTAAATAGGTTTGCATTCCATTAGAGTTCAGGATATTACTTCATCTCCCTTAGAATTCATTTTCCATGTGTCCCTGAAAGGGAAGTATGCAGATACAAGCAGGAAAACACCAGGCAGGGCATGTTCAGGTTTACAGCTCTCTGTTGAGAATGTTCATTCTCAGTACAAGAAGCAGAGAGAGGCAATGAGTGGGTCTGGGGATGTGGACTTGTTTAGAGTCCTTTTCTCTATATTATAAATAACTTCTTTCTTTTTAGAAAAGTAGTACCTCTTTATTTTAGAATTTTCAGAAAATATTGATTAAGGGAAGCACAACATAAAAATCATATATAATTCCTCCACCTTTAGTGGATCATCCCTTAGTGGACATTTTGTTGTATATCCTTGCCGCCCCTTTTCTATGTATGGATTAAGAAAGTTTTTCAACAAAAATGTGATCATCTATGTATATTCTTTTGGAAACTTTTATTTAATAATATATCAGGAACATCTTTCCACATTATTAAATGATATTCCCCACAATTTGATTTTTAATGGCTTCATGGCACTCAATTGCATCAATCAACCACAATTTATTTAACTGATCCACCATAGTGAGACTAGGAGTTTTTATTTCACTTTTCAGTATTACAAACAGTGCTGTTAAACATCCCTGCGGCCATATTTTGTGCAGATCAGTGATTAATTCCTTATGACAGACTCCTAAAAGTGAAATTTCTGGGTCAAAAAAATTACAAATATTTAGAATATATGTGTGTGTGTGTGTGTGTGTGTGTGTGTGTGTGTGTGTATCTCCAAATGGTGACTTCTACTTATAGAGCTCTCTTCTTGAACACTCACAAATATTTAATATTATTATTTTTTTAATTTGTATTTCTTCTGAGTCGAGCCTTGTTTTATTGACCATTTGTATTTCTTCCTTGCTAAATTGTCTTTAAATTCACATCCTTTGCCTCTCTTTCTAATGGTGTGTTTGCTCATCATGTTCTTATTGATTCTCAAACATTTCTCCACTTTTAAAAATGATTACCATGACACCTTATGAGAAAGCCCATCCAAAACTCTCAGACTTTTGGCTGAAAAGCTATAGCCAGGTTTTGGTCCTTACTAAGGATTAGACAATGCTTATATCTGTTCAGCAACAAACAACAGATGGGTTTCCCAGGCCGGCTGAGTATGCTGAAGACACATGATCAGTAGATGAACGTCACCTTTCCTTCTTCCCCTTATCTTTTCTTTGGCAAGAATGCTAGGGATGAGTCAGATACTTCCTATATTCAATCTTTGCAAATTTTCCCATGCATTCCATGTTGACTTTCAAATCCTGAATGAAAAAGTTAAAGGAAGCTAGGAAAATGAGTAAGCCTGATTGACATGTTTTTCCTACTGAAAATATGCCTATATGTGAAATCCTGAGTGGCCACACCAATTGACAAGATCTACCAGGATCTGTTTGGTCAGTATTGTACATGTGTTGGGGGAGAGGGGTACATAGTGGCAGTATCTCTGATCAGAATTATTCCTAGGGGTTCCTGGGCTTTTACAGGGCAGATGCTTTACCTTACCTTCCTTACTGTACACACTTGGCCTGACATGCCCACTCCCACTCACAAAGTCTTAAAAATACTTAAACCCTTCCAACTGAGCATTGAAGGGCTCACGGTGAAATAAGTAAATCATTAGCCTTGATTTTGCCTTCCCTTCTCCCTTGCCTCTTGTCTGTCTCCTTCCCCTCAGAAAATGATAATTATTGCCTTAACTCACTTCCTCACATCAACTCAGAGGCTTTGGGAACTGCAAGGCCCAGGAGCTTATGGCAAAAGTCTACACATTCAGTCATCCATACATGTGCCAATTCGTCCACCATCCATCAACCCACTTATCCAGGCATCCTTCCATGCATTCTTCCACCCAATAGCCACTCTGTGCATCCCACCATCCAGCCTTCCATGTATCTCTCTACTCATTTATCTACCTCTACATCCAAATACCCATCCATCCATCCATCTATACATCCAACTGTAAGGTATTGAACACTTAGTTCCAAGTACTTGGTACCGAGCACTCTGCCAGGCATTGAGTTACAACATTAAAAGAGGCCCAATCCTTGCCCTGAAGTTTACTTTCTACTGGGAAGACAGAGAAAGAAGTAAATCAATGATTTACTTATACAGAGTATAAGGACTATTTTTAAAATGTCCTGCACAGGGTGTCCCACAGGAGCATGTGGGAAGGTCCCAACCGGGTGATGAAGGAGTGAAGATCAGAAGAGGTGGTACCCATCTGGGTTTTAAAGGGTTGGATAGAGATTTTCCAGACAAGAAAGAGGAAGAAAGTATCTCAGACAAAGAGATCAGCACATGACAGGTGAGCGGAGGCTCAGCAGCCTGAAAGAATGTGGCTTATCCAAGGATAGCCAGTGGTTTGTTAAGACCAAAGCAAGCTTGTAAGGACAGCAGTAGGTGATGCAGCAGGTGTTGCAGTGGGCAAAGAGAGTCGTGAACCAAGCTGTAAGCACTAAGAAGCATTAATTCTATTCTGAGAGTTTTGGGAAGACGCCGGGTGGTTAATGGTTGGGTGTAGAGCTAGGGGATGGAGAAGAGGGAAGAGAGAAAGAAATCTTTAACAAGGTATGTCTACAGACTTAATGTTTGACTAGATGCAGCATGAAAATTATTCACGGGAAGAGGGCATTTCATTCTAACTCCAAAGCTGTTCCTCTCCCCCACACTCTCCCCCTGCTCTCCATGTTGAGGGACTTAAGGGGATTGGACCACGTGGCCTTTATGCTTCCTTTCAGCTCTGAAATACTACCTGTGATCCTGTTTGTCCATCTTTCAACACAGTGAGGAACTTGGCCAACCTCACTTCAGTCATGCCAGTGATCTCAATTTACAAGGAAGATTAGAAAGCTGCCTCTATTTTGTGGTTTTCCAAATGCAAGGGTATTAACATTTTAGTGAATAAAAAGTGGGCCCATTTTCTCACTGACATTCTTCTATTCAATAAAGTAGGTAATCAATCTTGCAAGAATATACTTTTCCCATTTAATGAAATAAATGTATTACCATTTTGAATTGGGGAGAGAGAAGTGAGGCCTGTAAACTTATTTGTCTCAGTCCACATGGAAAGCCTCGAGCCATCACTGAACCTGCACAGGCATTTATTACGGGTCACCTGCCAAGGCAGTGCTGTCATCTCAGTAGTGCCTCCTCAGGAGGTGAAGACAGAAAAAAAGGACAGTGAGCTTTTCTTGCCAGGTAGGAAGTCTCTCCCCATGCTACCCCCACCAGTTGGGAAAACAGAAGCCCTGAGATCTGCCCTCCCCCACCACCAATTGTCTGCAATTCTTCAGACAAGTCACATATATGTTCTGCCTTCAGTTTCTCATCCTCAAAATAAGATGAGAAGGGGGAAGGGACAAAATAATCTTTAAGGATCCTGCCATCTATAACCCCTAATGATGTTATCAATCTGTTTCCATGAGCCAATTCATAAAATGAATAATAGAGGAATAAGCAACTGCAAAGTGGTAAAAATTGCAAGCTTTGGAGCCTTGAATGCCACTTTCTCCAATTCCTGGTCATGTGACCTTGGGCAAATGACACAACCACTCTGTGCCTCGGTTTCCTCATCTGTATGGTTAATTAACCTCATGGGTTTATTGAAAAGACTAAGTGAATCAATACATATAAAGTGTTTAGCAAGGTGACTGGCACACTTAAGGGTTTCACAAATGTGTGTTTCTATTATCATTATCTAAAAGAGCCACCTAGTTGTAAATCCTTAGTTCCAGGCCCTTTGGGAGGAGGAATGGTTGAATCTCCATGAGCAAGAGCTGCTGCAGGAAATAGGCAAATGGGCTTGCTTCTGGGCCCTGGGCCCTTCCTTATCCTCTCAGAGAGGATGATCATTTCCCATAGTTGTCCTGAAACTTCCAGCAAAATGGATTCATTTTAAGTTTACAGTTTTTGATCTTTCTAAATATATTTGTGGCAATGTCCTTGAACATAATTCTTTGTGCCTACTTATATTGCAATTTGCATGGCAGAAGTTGCTTACTGACAGTTTCTGTTGGAGCACCTTCCCAAACGTGAAAGGCCCAGAGCTCTAGGGCGTTCCTCAGGGATTCGAAGGCCTGGCCTCTCTAGCTCCCTGGACAAGTCCCATGACCTCTTTAACCCTGTAAGTTTTTGCGTTGCTTTCTTTCTTATCAAAACGGTAGAAAAAGCTTGCAGACTCATAGGGTAAAGCTATATCATAGAAGTGAGAAAACAAAACAATCTAGGGTTTGGGGCTAATCAAAATGCTAATTCTTCCAAAATGCATTATCCCAAACTCCTTATCATGGAGTTGTCCAATAATGCCCAATAATATGAACTTAAAGATTCTTATTTAAATTAAATATATAACATATCTTATACAGACTCATTTTCATTTGCAGTATGACCCTCAATTACTTAACAATAATGAAGGTAAACTTTTTCTGAGTAATTTCATACATAAATCAAAAGGAGATTTATCATTCTTCCCTGATGGAAATGTCAGCGCACAGCTGGAGCAATGAGTATGAAGAAAAGGGTAAATGTGGGGCCTAGGAAATTGGCAGATCATAATAAGCCAGTGCCTCTCCCCTGAGGAGGATTAAGGACCAAAGAGGCCATTATATAGAATTACACACCTCCTGGAGCCCAGATAGCTTCAAATTTGGTGACCACTTAGCAGCTGCTATTGTCTGAGACTTGGTTGGTACTGATAAATCTTTAGACTGAAAAAAAAATTAATGGGGCTCCTTAGGGTTGGATATGGAGGTCCAGTGGTCTCCCCAGTGCAGGCTCAAGAGCTTCTCCAAGAACTGTGATTCCAAGACCCAGCCACTGGTCAGAAGGTAGACAGTTTTGGGAACTGGTATAGGGAAAGGGAAAGATGGTGGGGTTTGCTGGCAGACGGCCTGGGCCTTGCACTTCTCCTTGGCAATGTGTTGTCTGACCTTGGGCAAGGTACTTCAGCTCTATAGCCTCAGTTTCTACCCCTGGAAGGTTGGGATGGGATATTAGGAGAATCAACAATGTCAGCATGTGTAAAGCTGCTATCTTTACACAGAGTAGAAGTTCAGAGAGCCGTGGCTAGTCCTTCTGTGCCAGTTGTGTGAATAGGATAAAGTTTGTGTCTGAGCCACACACCTCCTTCACTTTTTGTGACATCACCTCCCTACCTTGGAGGAGACAAAAATTGTCCTCTCACAAAAAGAATTCTGAGCGCCCCAGCCTAAGGAGGAGAAATGGATCAGATGGGCTGTTGTCCTCTGTCTCTCTGCCCCTGGGCTCTGCGGGCTTCCAGCTAATAGGCCAATCATAAAAGGGCTATTCTCCCAACAGGTTTGACAAGCGGCTGGCTCCCCACCTCGGACTGCCTCCTGACTACTTGCTTTCATACCCTGCAAATTACTCAGATGATTCCAAAACCTGGCGCCCTGTGGAGATCTTTCGGCTGCTCAGCAAATACCAAAATGAGATCTCAGACAGGAGAATTTGTGCCTCTGTGTCAGCCCCAAAGACCTGCAGCATTGAATATGTCCTGCGGAAAACAGGGAGGTTCCAGAAATGGCTGCAGGCCAAGCGCCTCACACCAGACCTGGTGCAGGTGAGTGTGCAGTCCTGGCAAGTCCAAAGCAACCTGCCAGGTCCATCTTGTGTCACCTACCTTGATGGGTATAGACACTGGGGCATAGGGAAAAGATCCCTGGGGTCTGGAAACTGTGGTTGAGTCCTAGATCTAGACCACTAAAAGCTGTGGCAGAATGGGGAGAAGGAGCGGAGACCCAGGAAGAACAGAGAGCTTCTGGTTCCTGTTCATCCATCCATTCAAGTTTTTTTTTTCTTTTTTGTTCTTTGGTTTTTTTTATTTATTATTCCAGGGTTTTGTGAGGGTACAAACATTATAGTTACACTTTATGTCTTTGCCTCACCCAAATGCGGGTTAAAGGCATGCCCTTCCCTCCCTTTAGTGCTCCCCGTGTCCTTTAGTTGTAGATTTGCCCCCCCATCCCCCTAATCGCTAGAGAGTATTTCTGCCATGTGATCAACCTAGTGTTGATCAGTTAGTACCAATTTGATGGCGAGTACAAATGGATCCCGTTCTTCTGCTCTTGCGGTGCCCCACTTTGGATAATGGGCTTAAGTTTAATCCAGGAAAGTATAAGAGGTGCTAGATCACTGCCGTTTCTTATGATTAATTTTCCATTGTAAACATATACCAAATTTTGATAATCCACTCATGGATTGACAGGCACTTGGGTTGTTTCCACATTCTTGCAATAGTGAATTGTGCTGCCATAAACATTCGGGTGCAGATGTTTTTATCGTAGAATGTTTTGTGCTCTTTTGGGTAGATGCCTAATAGTGCTATTGCTGGATCGAATGGTATTTCTATTTTTAGCTCTCTGAGGTATCTCCAAATTCTTTTCCACAGAGGTTGCATGAATTTGCAGTCCCACCAGCAGTGTAAAAGTGTTCCTGTCTCTCCACATCCTCACCAACATTTGTTGTTTTGTGTTTTTTTGATAGAGGCCAATCTCACCGGGGTTAGGTGATACCTCATTGTGGTTTTGATTTGCATTTCTCTAATGATTAGAGATGTTGAGCATTTTTTTATATGTTTGCTGGCCATTATTCTGTCTTCTTTTGAAAAGTTTCTGTTCATTTCCCTTGCCCATTTGTTGCTCAAGGAGCAAAACAAAACAACAGGATTTCACCCATTCAACAAGTTTTAACTGTGCTACATCCTAGAGATTCAAAGATGAATCACACACAAGTTCCATCCCCAGGAGCATATGGCTCAGTGGTGGGGACATGCAGAGCACAAATCATCACAAAGCAATATAGTTGATGTTATGATAACATTTTATATCAGGACAAGGGACAGGCTACTGACTTGGGTCCTTCACTCACTCACTGACCAGTTGACCTTGGATGTAAGCCCAAAACTTCCCCCACTCTGCTCTGACATTCTTCCTCCAAAAATGGGTTCAGAGAAGGACATCTGGATGATCTCAAACACCCTCCCAGCTCTGACATTCTTTGACTTGATATGACTCTGCTTCATTTATTTAACAAATACCAAGTGAGCACCTTCTAACACCAGGTGCCCTGCTGGGTGTCTTGATTCTCTTGTTTCTTAAATGGCAGTAAATGGTACCTGCTCTGCCTGATTCATTCACCCTAATGAGCTTATAGAGATGAAGATGCTTAGAAAAAGTCCATTGCTATAGAAATGCACAGCAGCATTCCTGTAATAAGTGGGCCCCTTTCTTCAATTTGTTGTGCTAAAACCTGTTCTGCCAATTTTATCATCCTGTGTTATAAGCAGTTAAACAAGCTTTTCTTCTTTCTGCCAAAACAGCATCCATTAACAACATCCTGGTAAGACATGGCCAAAACCATAACCATTTTCACTTTACTTTGGCCCTTCCCTAACCTATCTTTTCATTCCCACCAGAGATTTTTCCCCTCCTTATAAAAAACAGAAAAATATCAGCAGCCATTTCATAAATTCTGGATAAACCTCATTCTTCTTCAATCCGCCAAGTTCAAGGTCATTGCTGTCCTATTTTGGTACCACCTTCTTCTTCTACTGCCCTCCTTTCCAGACACCCTTTGCCCTTGGGATTCCACAGCAGGCCCAAGGCACTCTGCCACACTCTTTCCTACTCCCAGGTCTCATCCAGGTGGCACCCAAACTCCTGCTCTTTTCTTTCTAGCAAAACTCACCTATCAGACAGTGTCAAATGGATCTGTCTTCCCCAAAGGTGGCAAAAAACAAAAACCTCACCTATTTACCCAAGAGAATTGAAAACAAGTGTTCAAACAAAAACTTGAATATAGTGGTTATAACAGCATTATTCACAATATCCAAAAGGTAGAAACAACCCAAACGTCCATCAATTGATGAATGGATAAACAAAATGCATTATATCCATACAATAGAATATTATTTGACCATGAAAAGGAATGAGGTACTGATACATGCTACAACACAGATGAACCTTGAAAACATTATGCTCAGTGAAAGAAGCCAGACACGAAAGACCACATATTGTACTATTCCACTTATAGGAAATGTCCAGAATAGGCAAACCCATAGAGACAGAAAGCAGATCAGTGGCTGCCAAGGGCTGAGAGGACGGAAGAATTGGGAGTGACTGCTTAATGGGTGCAGGGTTTCTTTTCGGAGTGATAAAAAGGTTCTGGAATTAGACAGTGGTGATGGTTGCACAACCTCGTGGATGTACTATAAGCCCTGAATTGTACACTTTAAAATGGTCTAAATGGTCAATTTCATGTTATGTGAATTTTACCTGTTAACCTGTTAACATCCTGGCATACATTAAATTATTAGATCAGCTGCCCATCCCAAGGCTCTAAGAGAATGAAGTCACAGAATAGGTGAGGTTGTTTTTATGGCTTATTATTCCTTTTTAGAATTGAGGTAAAACTCACATAACATGAAACTCACCATTTAGACCATTTTAAAGTGTACAATTCAGGGCTTATAGTACATCCACGAGGTTGTGCAACCATCACCACTGTCTAATTCCAGAACCTTTTTATCACTCCGAAAAGAAATTCTGCACCCATTAAGCAGCCACTCCCAATTCTTCCCTCCTCTCAGCCCTTGGCAGCCACTGATCTGCTTTCTGTCTCCATGGGTTTGCCTATTCTGGACATTTCCTATAAATGGAATAGTACAATGTGTGGCCTTTTGCATCTGGCTTATTTCATTATGGTGTTTCACTGTTAGCCCTCCAAGAAACCATTTACATGTAAAGCCAATACTGCAATGCTTTCACTAGCCCATCCGTGACTAGCTCAGCCCTTCCTAATACATCCCAGTGTTCTTCTCTTACTAAACCCAGATGTGGCCCCAGAATTCTTCTCAATAGTGTTTGTTCCAAGCAAGCAGCCCGTCTTTGATCTCAGCTGGAATAAGAGATGAAACTTGAGTGATCGTTCATCCCAGATTTAGCTGAACAGCTCTGCCCTATTTTTCTGATAACTTGTCAGACATGAGTCCTAATTTCTTGCACAGAAATCATGATCTTTCTATATTTATATGGGAGTTTCCGGACCAGCCAGAGAGCTATTACAGGACGGGTGATAGGGAGACTTGCCTCATCCTTTAACTCATAGCAAATTGCCCAATGTCAGCTCAGCCTACCTGTCAGGCCAGCCCCAGGGATTCTCTCAGTGCGTAACTTAAGTGGGTTTTCCCTGATTTCCTCAAGAGCCACTTTCCAACAGGGATCTAGGCCAGAGCCCTGAATTGTGCTCATCTGCTCGTATGTGTGCTGGTGTGCGTTTAGGGGAAGAAAAAGAGGCCACTGGGAACTCACAGGCTTTGCTCAGAGAACTGACAAGGCAGAGATGAGAGGAGAAGAAAATCAAAGAAATAAAAGTAAACTTAAAGGAGGAGGAATCTGACTGGTTCAGGGACCTCAGAACTTTGATTGTCAGTCCTGCTTATGAATAAATAAAGCCAACTTGGATGAAAACCCCAGTAGTCATCATGAGAGGCTGATCCGGGGAGTTTGGGGCTCCTCTCCTGCAGGGCCAAATGCAGGTTTATATTAAGGACACTCTGCCTTGAACCATAGGCAGAATGCTACAGTGGGGGCTGCCAAGAAGGACAACACAACCAAGAAAGAATTAGGAAGAGGGTGAAACAATGCTGTGTGTGTGTGTGTGTGTGTGTGTATGTGTGTGTGTAGCACTTGTGTAATAAAACCATGACTTTTCTCCTCTAAAAGCTGCATTGTTCTGTTCAGAACATCCCACAGCCTAAATTACTAGCCCACAAAGAACCCCAGCCAAGAACACCGCTCAGAGTTTTTATCATAAGCTTGTTCACAAAACCACCAAGAAGGCATCCTCTGCTATTACGCCAAGCGCAAAGAGGCAACCACCCTAGGCAGCACGTGGCTAATCAGAGGAAAACACATATCCTCCACTGCGTCCCCCTCCGATCCCCTCGACTGCGATCGGATCCGCTTCTGACATTGTTCTGTTACTCCCTCAGATGGCCGCGGAGCTTTTTCTCCCACTAGATGGCTGTATAGAGTGTTCAGGCAGCTTTGTTTAAACAAGGACAGCTGGCAATTTTACTTCCTACGTCTTCATTATTTTTTTAAATTGATAGAATAAAGGAAATAAGCAAATTAACTAAAATGCACATTAATCACTTCATCAAAATATATGTTTATGTGTAACTACTGAGCAAGTGAAATTCATGTTTGCTCAAATTTAACTCAAAAATATGTAAGGGGCGTTTACAAGACCTATGCTAGCTTAGGAGGGTATAACGGTGTCAAGACAAGGTCCCTGCACTCTGGGAGATGACACTGCAGTGAGGGAGACAGACTATATTCGACTCGTTCTGATACAAGACAGGTTGTGATACAGTATTTTAATGAAGATAGAAAATTTATATTGGATTCACAGCTAGTTTTCAGGCTATAAATATTTTAATTCCTCACAGGCTGCCAGGTCAGGGGCCCTTTAAAAAAGTTGCATTCGTTTTTTCTTGTTTTTTTTTTTCAAATAACACGACTATACTGATGCTGAAAAAGAAAAATAAATGGCTGTATT